TGCAAGCAGCAGTGGGCAGATGTTTTAGCAAAAGTTAAATACACAAGCAGACTGGCAGATGTTAGTGTCTAGCAGTGAAGAAGAGCCAAAAGAATTTTAGTGTCTCAGTTGAGCAGATATATGACCAGAAACTATATCATCTGTATAGTTAAGGGCCTGTGGTGCTGACCTAGGTTAACACTGCTGTTATATCCTTCCTCTGCACTCCATGTACATCTAATGCATGTCTCCACCTGTTATTCACAATGTGTGTCCAGTCGCATTAAACAAATGAGAGTCCATTTAATGTGTGTGACTACAGTGACCTACAATACATGGCAGTAACTTAGGAGACTGAGGCTCAGCTTTACTTAAACCAAAAAAATACACAGTTTAATAATTAGTTTTTTGAGAATTTGCATAATGTTGTTGTTTTTTGAGGCAACTTATTTAACATGTAAATTTATGTAAATTAGCTTGGAGCCAAATATCTGAGGGACACCACAGTTCACAGTGGATTTACCATCACTGGCACATACTGGCACAACATGCCAAAATTAACTAGAGAAAATTAATTTGGTCCTCTGGGCTGTTGCTGTAAATACAGACACATTTTTTTTTCTGTCATATCCACACAGGAAAATCAGTGTTAAATAACAGTCTCATATAGTTTGCAGTATGCTGTATACCATTACTGTAACAATTCTCTTGCAGTACATTTTAGAGGGAATCTTAGGTGTAAAAATGATACCACCGTCACGGCTAAGTTTAAATACTCACTATTCAAATATGAGGAAATGGGTTCTGACATTTAGTTTAAACCATTTTTTTTCTCTTTTTACCTTTTTCTCCTCCCTGACTCCAAACCCTCTTTTCATGGTTGCAGTGTTGAAATCAATGCAGCTATCTGTCAAATTCACCTGCTCAGAAAAGCCTGGCAGCCCCAAAAATTCCATATATGTGACTAAAGTCCTGTCTAGACAGAATTAGTTGTAGTGAAATATTAAGCAATGTCATTTTAACTTGTATTGCTACATTATTTATGTCTTCTGCAAATGTAATTATGTCTGATTTTGAGAGTACAAAACATATTTCAGGAAAAATTATGCAAATTGCAGCTAATTCCTGGGTTCTCTCTGTTCAGTGTTGCCACTCGTGCCATCAATCAAGGCCATGATTGCAATCAATCACAACTAAGAGGTCACACATTAAAAATCTTCTGAGATGATGAATAATTCAGCACCAAAACGTTCATTTTATAACCATATAATCATCACTTGCAGAGCATTTCTGAAACTCAAATCTCAACAAGGATGGAGCCAGCTGCTCTTCAGTCTGCCCACATCTCTGAGGTGTCAGTTACCGATGCAGTGTGTTTGCAGTTTCATGGTAGGAAGCAGCAGCATGAGTGGAGGTGCCTGCAGGCTCAGGAAAGTGGTAAAAAGGACTTGTTCAATCACAGGCTGAGGCTCTGCTCCCAACAGGCAGAGAGAGAGAAGGACAGGGTGAGACCAATTTCAGATCTGTCCTAAACCCTGTTCACATGGGACTGGTAATCTATGGGGAATTCATGTAGTGGATACATTTCTGGTCAACCTCTTTGTTTTACATAACACAAACAATAGATCAGACCCTCTTATATATTTCCTTACTTTCTCTGTTTTTGAATTCAGGAGAAAAAAATACACTCTTTGTTGTACCCAAATTTTCAATATCCTTGATGTTCAAATATTTGTGTAGGATCCAGCAAAGTCACAAAACTGGGTACATTAAAGTTAAACAAGAGCAGAGTGGTGCAGCGGAAGCGTGCTGGGCCCATAACCCAGAGGTCGATGGATCGAAACCATCCTCTACTAGTTCTAAGGAACTTTCCCTTACCCCTCTGTGACTTGTTACAGAAGCTTGAACTTTACTTGCATATTGTGACATGCTCCCAGATCTTCTCCCATTTGGACTCTCCCAGATCACCCACAAAAACTGGTGTAACAGCCATTGCTTCTCTCAGTAGCTTTCCTTGCATATAGGGATGCATGCCTTTTCACATTTGAACCAATACCAATACCATTCCTGGGAACCTGTACTGATATGCAAAGGTACCTGTTGTTTGGTACTTTTTTGTGTGTATGTGTGGTAATTAAAGTTAATGTGTTTATTAAAAAAAATGTTAAAACTTCAGAAATTAGAATTTTTATTGTTATGATTTGGTGTAAACAAGCTAAGCTAATAGCGGGATCTCTGTTTAAAACTTGAGAGTGTGCAGGGAGAGGAGGGGCTGTCCACAGACATTAGTTTTCAACAGGCCTGAAGATTAAAACCCTGACCCGTGGGTGTTGATGCCCAGACCCAACATGGTGCGACATGGTGCAATATTGGAAAATGCAAAACTATGACATCCACGATAAAACATCTGGCATCCTCATTGGGCAGAGTGGCACAGTTGAATTGTTTTGGGTCCATAACTTACACAGTTGCAAAACTTTAACATTTCATCTGGGTAAGAATGTACTGGTCTGGTACCAACAAGGGTAAATGAGAGCGGAGTGGCACAGTGGACGCTTGCTGGGCCTATAACCCAGAGGTCACTAGATCAAAACCGGAAGCTTAAACTTGACTCTCATATTGTCACACTTTCCTAACCTTGTCAGAACTAGGTTACTCTAAGTAGTTTCCTGACTCTTTAGGATAACCCCAAAAAACTGGCTGGAAAACTGGTCCAACAGCCATTACTTCTCTCAGTAGCCTTCTTTTCTTCTTAACTATTTTATCATATAGCATGCAGGATGGGGTAGTGTGGCCAAGTGGTCCAAAGCACTGGGTTAAGGCTCTAGTCTCTCAGGCAGCATGGGTTTAAATCCCACCACTGCCATTTGCTGCTGTTTGCCCATATGCAATAACTCAGGCAGTCTTCTGAAGACTGACATTATGCTGCACTGATTTTGGAAAGTGCCAAATGATCCATGTTTTAATTATGCTTTATGTTTTGACTTGTTCCCTGGTACATTTACTTAGCATATGCCTTACTGATCTTCAAGTGTTGAAAACTACACGTCTGCTAGTCCTGAGAACCTTCCCATGTGTCTCCATGATGTGCAGACTTGACTGGTCTGCCTCTGTCATGTGGTCCCTCTCTGTGTCTGTCCGAATCTGGTTGCTCATTCTCACTTGTTTTGGACCCTGTCAGAGCAGCCATGAAAACTGGATGGATGTTCTGGTGTTGCTGCCATTGTTTTTCTCAGTAGCTTCCTTTTGCATATAGCTCCAAACAAGTTTATCGCATTTCCTGCATCTTTTGTTGCATGCAGGACATGCTACATAGGCTTTACCTGGTAGTGTGGCCGAGCGGTCCAAGGCGCTGGATTAAGGCTCCAGTCTCTCAGGAGGCGTGGGTTCGAATCCCACCACTGCCAGTTGCTACTGTTTGCCCATAGGAGAGGTGCAAGTGCTCAGACAGTGTTCTGTTTGCATCCTGCTCTGATGTTGGAAAGTGCAAAACTATGAAATCCATCATCAACCTGGGCTTTCTGTTTTCTCTTGTTCTTTCGTACTTTTACTTGACGTATGCCTTACTGATCTTCAAGTGTTGAAAACTACAAGTCTGACATCCTCATTTGGCAGAATGGCCGAGATGAAGTGTTTTGGGTCCATAACCCACACAGTTGGACAACTTCAACATTTTCTTTTGGGTAAGAATGTACAAGTCAGGTGATGAGAAGTGTATGTGAGAGCAGAGTGGCGCAGCGGAAGCGTGCTGGGCCCATAACCCAGAGGTCGATGGATCGAAACCATCCTCTGCTAGTCTTGAGAACCTTCCCATGTGTCTCCATGATGTGCAGACTTGACTGGTCTGTCTCTGTCATGTAGTCATTCTCTGTGTCTGTCCGAATCAGGTTGCTCATTCTCACTTGTTTTGGACCCTGTCAGAGCAGCCCTAAAAACTGGATGGATGTTCTGGTGTTGCTGCCATTGTTTTTCTCAGTAGCTTTCTTTTGCATATAACTCCAAACAAGTTTATCGCATTTCCTGCATCTTTTGTTGCATGCAGGACATGCTACATAGGCTTTACCTGGTAGTGTGGCCGAGCGGTCCAAGGCGCTGGATTAAGGCTCCAGTCTCTCAGGAGGCGTGGGTTCGAATCCCACCACTGCCAGTTGCTACTGTTTGCCCATAGGAGAGGTGCAAGTGCTCAGACAGTGTTCTGTTTGCATCCTGCTCCGATATTGGAAAGTGCAAAACTATGAAATCCATCATCAACCTGTGCTTTCTGTTTTCTCTTGTTCTTTTGTACTTTTTCTTGACGTATGCCTTACTGATCTTCAAGTGCTGAAAACTACAAGTCTGACATCCTCATTTGGCAGAATGACAGAGATGAAGAGATGACTGGTCTGCCTCTGTCATGTAGTCACTCTCCTTGTCTGTTAGAATCTGTTTGGTCATTCTCATTTGTTTTGGACCCTGTCAGAGCAGCCATGAAAACTGGATGGATGTTCTGGTGTTGCTGCCTTTGTTTTTCTCAGTAGCTTTCTTTTGCATATAACTTTTAGCCTTGGGTGGCTAAGGATGGGGCTAAGGATGGAGCTGAGAAAGCAGCTACATGGTAGTGTGGCCGAGCGGTCCAAGGCGCTGGATTAAGGCTCCAGTCTCTCAGGAGGCGTGGGTTCGAATCCCACCACTGCCAGTTGCACCCGTTTGCCCATAGGAGAGGTGCAGAAGCTCTCACTGTGTTCTTCAAACTGAACATATGCTGCACTGATTTTGGAAAGTGGAAAACTTTTTACTTGGAGTATGGCTGGCTCCAGTCTCTAAGGAGGTGTGGGTTAGACTGTAAAGTCTAAAACCCCTCAGGTCAACACAGTCCTGCAGTGTTTTCTCTGTGTTTTCAGCAATAATGGTCAAGAAGCTATACAGAAAGTAGGCTATGTAGGTAAATACATATTTGACACATGCATTAACCCAAATGTGGGACGTCAAGTGGCAGTGGTGGGAGCTGCGGCCTTGAGCTATATGACATGAGCATTCTTGCAGGTAGTGTGGCCAAGTGGTCTAAGGCACTTGATTTAGACTCTAGTTTCTAAGGAGTTGAGAGTTCAAATCCCAGCATCACGTTACCCAAATGGGTTTGTGTGGTTACATCAACATTGGATCACTGAACACTGTAATGATTCTAGAGCATTTCAGCTCCTCTGTTGTGAGAGAGGTATCCCTTTGTCTCTGTTTTCCTCTCAATTTGATATTCTGACAAGTAAGAATGAGTTGACTTTAGGTTCATGGCTCTGTATGTCCTTAATATGATTAATGGTTTGTGAATGATGCTGAGCCAACTATGTCCACTACAATATGTGTCAGACTCAGTTTTAGATTGCTGGGCCATGAAATGCTATCAATGATAGTAATTGTCCCAGACTACCATATTCTATTCCCTCAAATAAAGTAAACAGTTATTAATCTAAGTATGATGTGTGTGTGTGTTTGTGTGTGTGTGTGTGTGTGTGTGTGTGGAGGACATGGGCTTTGCCATTTTGTTTCTCTTGTTTTTAAGTAATGGTTAATTATTATTTAATTATTATTAATAATTAATTCTTAATTAATTAATTAAATATTATTTCTCTGTTTTGTATTTTAATTACAATTGTTTGAAATTCCTTAACAGCTTGCTGTTGTTTTTTGTTTGTTTGTTCTAATCCCTCCACGCTCTCTGATGTTGCAGTTACCCAGTTCCCCAAACAGGAATCATTCCACTCTGATCTTGCTCTCTTAACCTTGTTGTCTTTTTTCTCTATTCAGAGAAAATTGACCTTTACTCCTGTATCATTATCCTCACAATTGTCATACATACATACATATTATTGCCCCCTCATCAACACACTTAATTGAGATCCATGCGTCAACAGGTTCCTGTGAGCTGGTAAGGTAATGTAGCACACCATATAATGATCACATAGAAAACTGATGAGAATGGCTGGAAATGTTTTATCAGAGTATGTGTTAGTGGTGTGTGTCTACAGACTTGAAGCTTGTGTGTTTCTTACTGCACCACTTTTTTTGTGATGAATAAATAAATGAGCGTCATATTGAAATAAGGTGTACTGCATTGTGGGTGTGTGCCCATTTGATTTTATTGCGCTCTTATCAGGCTAAAATTACATGTTTTTTGTCGCTTTTGTTGTTGACTGTGTTTTGACGATGGATGTTCTAGTTTCCACTGCTAAGGATGATTGGAAAATGAAAAAGGTCCGTAAATACTTCTTCTTATCTCCCCTCTCCTCTCCCCTCCTCTTTCACTCTAACCATCCTCACCCTCCCATGTCAGGCTCATCTCTGTAGTAAGCTATGTGGCAGCTATGTCATTTATGGCCTTAATAATATAGAGATCTATTTAACTCTTCTCCCTCCACGTCTTTGTGCTTTGGACTTTCAGCAGCAGTCAGCATTTGTCGCAGATGTGTGACCGCTTAAACTGAACCAAGGCCATCATAAAATGAAGTTGGAGGTGAACTCTGGCTTTATTATTTCACTGTGTGCTTGCATTTGTTCTTTTGAACATTCACTCAAATTTGTTGTAATTGCAAATTACACCGTAATAAAATACAGTGAATTCCCATCAGCACCTTTTAGAAAAGCATATACACACACATATATATAGCATATACACACAGACACACATATATATATATATATGGTTGTGTGTGTGTGTGTGTACCTTTGTCAGATACTAGTTACATGCAGTTATATTGCTTTACTTGTGTATGACTTACTGTCAGACAAATTGTTAAAAAACAACTGAAAATAAAGAAAAATTTGACCCCCCCCCAAAAAAAAAAAAAAACTTTTAGTCACTGACTTCTTCTTTCATCCAAAGTAAGGGAGAGCGCTCAGAGAACAATGAACATTAACTGTAATTTCCATGAAGCGACAGAGGTGATAACAATAGTAATAAGAAGTACCACTGAGATCCATGACAACTGAGCAAATTCTATTTGTGTCACAGTTCATGAATGCATTCATTCATTATCTGTGTGTGTTGTTTCAATGTACTGACTCTACTGTTATTTCAATAGCCTCAGCTCTCCCCACGTGAACCCTCGTACTTCCTACAGAATTGCACATTGTTTTTAACATAATTTTCCTTCCAGCCTTTGACTTCACTTTGATTAGAACAATTTCAATTCTGCCTGTATTCGTTCTGCCTGAAGTAGCAACAACTTCAGTTGTTCTACCGATGTCATTGATTTGAAAACATTGCAACTTCTACAGCCCTCCAACATCCAACCAATTTCAAGTGACAAAGTAGTTGCAACCTCCAGACGTTCAGGTTTGAGAGTGGCACAGTAGAACGCTGCTGGGCCCATGATCCACATGGTGAAGGATTCAAACCACACTCTTCTAGCTTATAATGTTCAAGTGCATACAGAGTCAGCCAACCATTAATACAGATAGCAAATGATCACACTGTGTGTTCAGGTCACTTCCTTAAATATACTCCAGTTTGAACAGCTTTCCATCTTCCAACCAATTTCTAGTCAGATACATTTGGTGAAATCTCTAAAACTAAACAGCTGCACAGGGGAGGTCATTGACACCTCCAGTGAAGTGAGATAGACAGCAGAGTGGCGCAGCGGAAGCGTGCTGGGCCCATAACCCAGAGGTCGATGGATCGAAACCATCCTCTGCTAATGGTCTACTTTGGAATTCATGTAAGGAGGAGGTTTATAAGAGAAGTCCATCACCACCTTGTTGACCAGACTTTTTCCAGTTGAACTCCTTCAGTTGTCCTGGCTATGTCACTTCCTCAAACACAATGCAATGTGCACATCTTTCCAACATCTTTTTAAGTCAGATATTTTCAGTGCAACCTCCAAAATCACAGTGCTGAGAGCTTCCAATAATTTGGCAGGTTTAAAGTCCCCACCCAGTGAAAACCATTTTGTTTATTGAAATTCACATTGTATTTCAGATCAACTCTAAAAGAGCCTCATCTGTGGCTTCAAATACATTTTTCATCTGTTAGTAGGAGTGAAGATTATTTCTCATTTAGTTACAGTAAAAGTCAAAGGTGGATCAAAATGTTTTCTGTTTTTTTTAAACACTATCTGAAAATGATGACATATTGGTGTGGATGCAGATTTATCCGTCTCTCTTGCGGTGTGAATTCAAATTAACATTCAGGTGATTGTAACAGGGACAATTGTAATGAAATGACTGAACTTCAAATAGGCCTAGTAATCCATGTCACTTCAATTCAAAAATAAAGAAATAAAATAAAATAAAAATCTCACTTTGGTTTCTTTGTAGCCAAACTTCCATTGCAGTGATTTTAAACTAGATTTCATCAAAATGATTACTGTGCTGCTACATGAGTTTTGGTGTTACAATAAAGAACAAGCTAAATCACAAATAGGGATGTGAATAGATAGTGGAGAGGAATTTTAGAGGAATCTTTTAACCCAATTGAAATTGAGTTTTCCTCTAGAAAGACAATGTACGTCAAGTACATTCGGCCTAACTCTTCAATACATGATCATGTGAGGAGTCACCTCTGTCTTTTTCTCCCTTTCCCCTCTGATATCCCTGTCTGTTGTAATTTTCATTATCTCAATATTTAACTGTCTTTCAATCCCCCCACATACACACCCCACACCCCTTCCATATTTAAATGTAATGACAGTAGTCGTATGCCTTTCCTTGCCCCATTGAACTACTGATATGAATCATCAGCTAGTCATTACAGAGAGAGAAGGATGTGAAAATGTATAAAGAAAGCTATGCAGGGAGTAAAAGGAAGATAGTTACAGACCAACAGAGAGTGCATAAGACAGGTATATGCACTGATACAGGCGAATAAAAGACAAGAAAAGAGGAAACAGAAGGAGAAAGGGAATAAGTCTAATCTACCAAAATGCAGCCACTGGATGTGGTGAATAGTCTTCTGGGGAGGACCAAAGGTGCAGGCTGTCAGAGGTAATTAGGGTCTTGCAGTGATAAACAGACATTAACACATTCACCAAACAGAGAGAAGGTGAGAAAATCAGAGGCCTTCATTTACATGCTTAAGCAATATTGTTCATGTAACATTCATGGGTCTGTGTTGATAAGCTGTTTATTGATGGTCTATGGGGTCCTACTAATCATACTTAAGAAAAGTATTATGCTAATTTTAATGGGCCCACAGAGAGAATGAGGGAGATGGGTAGACATGTCAGCAGGGCATGTTATGGGGTGGGGGAGTGATGCGAGTGTACAAGAAAGTGAATTTTGTAAACAGGTACTCAGTGGCCTGTTTGCACAAGCAAGCATGAATGTATGTAACAGGTCATGGAGGCAACATTTGTTAAATATGTCAAAAGATGTACTCTGTTCTCCCTACTGAAGAAGCAATGCAGAATAGAGTAAAGGACTTGAGAATTGAAAGGACCTTTATTCAAATATTAGAAGACCCTGGAATGCTCTGAATGTAGTATGCTGTAAGGGACCTTAAAAGATATCTAGAAGATGCCACAACCTCAACAAAAGTTTGCATCATGGAGAAGGAGCCGTTAGACAAAAAGATAAGGCCTTTCAATAACCAACAGAGGAGCTCAAAGATGCTCAAAGAACTCAAAGCCTTTTAAACTACCCATGATGAAATGAGCCTGGGACTAGAGCTGTGTAATGGACAAGAGGAAAAGAGGCCTGATGCCTGAACGTCAGTGCCCCAAGGTGGGAATGACGCTTGAAGCCTGAAAGAACTCGCTCTATGTGGGGAATAAATGTAACTCTTTCCAATTTGAATGTTAACTTGAAAGAGATTGAGACTAAATAGCTGCTCTGTTTCCCTGTCTTGTAATTGTCTTCATCTGCCTCTATTTCATCTGATGTCAGTTTCACGTGTTTTGAAACATACAATAACCTGCTGAATAGGTTCTCATCTACTATGATTTCTATAGCCATTTACTGCCCTCTCCTCATTACTATACAACAAAGTGGCCAGACAGTTGCCTATTGTGGGTGCCCTCATGCAATTATAAAAGCAATTGCAGAAAAAAAAGAATGAATTCTATGAAGAGTGCCACCCGCCAGCATAATATGTATTGATGAAATGAATGCTGTTATGCATTGTATGCATA